CCTGAAGCATTTCTTCCTATTTGATTATTGTCCCAGCGCGGACTCGAGTTCGAGACGATAATTGAGACGAGTCTGTACTTCCAACAACTTGAATAAGAAGCTCAGGATAGGACACTTGTTTGTGCAAACTCATCGCCAACGTCTACTGAAATGGGTCTCATACATCAAGAACCACTCTGTACATAATCTCGCGGCCGTTGAATTCCTTTCGACTTTTGAAGACTCGAACCGTGTTTAAAATGTAGGAATCCGCGTAATTAACTGTGCGTCATTGGAAACAGGGTCGAAGGAGCAAACTAACCTCACTCTTTTTGCAAATGTCGGTTACGCAGTCGCCGTCGAAAGGAATTCTTCGTAATCGCCCTGTGGCGTGTTTTACTTCCGTGAAGTAAAAAAGGACCCCAATCCGCGGAGGCTACTCGATGCAAAATTTGCGCTCCAGGACGGACAAAACGATCGACAATAAAGTGAAATTTTGGGAGCGTGAATCGAGGCCGCGCGAAACGCGGTTATCAGCGGGTAGGATAAAGAGGGTGCTACGTTCGACATGTGTGCATTATTTATGGGTGCGTTTAGACAATTGATAATCAAGTCACGATTAATATAGGTAAAATTAACGATGAAAATATTGTATTTTTGCTGATATTTTTGCAAGGGAATCCGTTTAGCTTGCGCACCTTAGTCACCGTTGATGCCGGCGACCGATATCGTGCACGACTACTGTTCGACTCGTCTTTGCTTTGAATTTAACGTGTGGAACACTCGATGATCGTTGCTCGATGTCCGACGATCGTCGAGCCTTCCCGCGTCACTTCGATGCTCTCTTTAAGTTCCTTTTCGATACCGATTCTCGGTCTTTCCTTCACACGTTTCGAAACAGTCTGTTCCCGGACGATGACCACCGAGGCTATCCTACTTAATACTATTACTATCGTTGGCCCCAATCTTGTGCACGATGCGTTCTCGTCGCGACAATGGTGACGAGACAACGGACGAAGATTCACTCGACGAGATCGCCGTTTAGACGAAAAATTCGTATTTTCCGAGTCGATTCTCTTCTGCACAAAGCAACATGCTATAAAATACTGGGCACAAAGGTCGATTTGTGTTATCTGCTCCGAGCACGTTGTTGAAACGGGATGGTTGCGTTCGAACATAGATTCTTTTAGACATTTATAATTGTTATTAAAATAAGCAGCATGTAATTGCTTTAGCATATAAGCGAGAGTAACGTATTTTTTATAATTAGTATCATAATTGGAACATTGATGCATTACTTACTTTACTTATATTACACCACTGTCCCCAATCTCTCTTTCTCGTTTCTTCGAGGGATGGTTTTACCTGTTAAAGTTGCCTCTCAGCGGATAAAAAAAAATTCGTATCCCTTATTTTTGACTGCTTAACAAACATACGAAGATTCATCAAAATCGGAGGGGGACACGTCCGTGCCTTCCCTTGTCAGTCGATATTATAAATTAACCTTAAATCGAGTCTTCGAAGGTCTTGATGTGTATGCATGTGACGTCGATCCAGAGTGTATCTTCGTTCGAATAGACGCTACGGAACACGGAAGAGACGTGGCGACGTTTTGGATTCGTCGTCACGTCCCTTCCCTACCTCTGAAATTGTCCCGAGTTCCTTTTGTAAATAGTATCACTTTTTACGTTTCTTCTCTCAAAAGCCGGTCCTCTTTGGCCTTCTTGTTAGTTCGACCGACGATCGAGCTTGCGCGTCTGGCCGTTCTCCGGAAGACGTCGCTTGTGTAGCGTGGAAAGTCGGCTATATTTTTTCGTCCGGCCACGCAAACGAACGATTTTCGATGTTCGAGCTTCGTAAGCGCTTGTAGCTAGTATTAAAAATTTGTACGATGTATCGAGGACAAGAATTCTCGACACTTTGACTGCCGTGTCAGCTGACGCCATGAATGCCAATGTAATTACATGCCACACGTTGAAGTGTAGTTTTGTAGACAAGATATAGCGAACTCGAAAATTTTATAGCTTAAAACACAAGTGTCTTTCACACAACAGGACGAACCTATTATCTCAAGTTCGTTTGCGATTAGTTTGATTGTAAGAAGCAACAAAATCTACAATGGCCCAACATGAAGGCTGCTGAACTCTCAAAAGATGGACATTTTTGGTAATTGCAGGGACATTGGTGTCTGGGTGCGATCTTAAATTGGTTTATAAGTTCGCTATATTTTAGGATATTAGAGTCTAAAGTTTTATTTAGAATGGTGGAAATTATTTTACAAAAATCAGTCTATTTTAACCCGAACAAGGCAACTGTTAACGATAGTCAAAGTATCGAAAGGATGAGCGCGTCCTCGACAGGGGTAACGTAGTCGAGACAACGGCTAAATCGCGCGTTTTGATCTTTATTCAGTGAAGTTGACAAAGGAGAGTAACATTACACGTACGTGCCCCGTTAGAACATTTAGTATTTCATCGAATATCATGGCGAGATGAATGATATTATTTAGGAAAGAAAACATCAAAAAACCGCATACTCGATGCTAATTATTATTACCACACTGCGGATGTTCGTGCAAATATATGTATAATTTTATTGACTACTTTACAAAAAAAGGAATCAAGTAGAAATCTGTTTATTCTACAAGGGGGATACTCCCGGGTTCTGAATAGTATAAAAACCTCATTAAACTTTTTACTGGTATAGTGTAAACGCATAAAATCCGCAGGGCAATTATTATATATAATCGTTTTAATGATTTTGAATATTGGAAAAATCGTTGAATTAGTTTTATCGTGGAAAAACAAAGCCAGGGTGATAAACATATTTGCGTAAACATAAGTAGGATTGTAGTTCGCTGCTGCCCGGAGGGCGCCGTTCAATGTTGCGCGCTTTAATTCCGAAACGAGCCAAGGTTTCGAAATGTTCCCACACCGCGGCAAATCGTTGCGTTACCTTTACGCAGGATATCGACACAATCTCGACGGAGAAAGCAATTGTCGAACGAGCAGGATACTTTCGGTGTATTGATCTAGGACATTTCTAGGAATAATTGTATACTCGTGTCGGGGAAGGGGAGGTTAGGAACGTGTACGTGTGTGAGTGCCTGGTGCTATAATATGACATGGTGTGTACGTATGCATTGTGTGTATATGTGCGAGCGAAAAACGAATTAAAAATTATCTCCTCTTCCCTCGGATCAATTTAGTTTGAATGACGAAAACAAGGTGCTTGGGAACTCGATCGATTTAAACGAGGATCGAAGGATTCTTTTTTTCTCGCGTGGTGCATTTACCGTTCTGAAACTTTTTTTTTTTCACGCAACGTCAGGGAAACCGATGCTCCGTGTATTATTTAATCCCCTTCCTCTGCTTATTTATTTATACGTCATTCATCATTATAAATACCACTGCGCGTGTCTCGTCGTTGCGTTACCTACCATTGACAAAAGGAGAAGACAGAAGAATGGTTAGCTTGCTTCGTTGTCCCCCGCGCAAAAGAACGGTGAACTTCGATCCCCTCGCGAACTAGAATCGTGACACACAAACACAAACTACACGTACACACTGTAAATGTATGATACTTTAATTATTGTGATACTTGGAAATAAGTAGGTACGTACGTGCCGTTGTATATTACCGTTTCTTTATTCGTTTCTCTCCCACTCCCCGGTCCCTCGTTTCGCGAAACAATTTTTTGACCGACTCCGCCGTCGTTGAAGATGAAACTGCTCGTACACACGATTCGCGAAATCGATGAAAGTGCTTTCCTCGTATGATCAACGATCGTTAAGTGCAGAACCCGTGTTATGGCACAATTCCGACAATTCGTCGGACAGAAACGTTATATTTCAATCGCGAAGAAAATCCCCGTTTGAAGTAATACGATTGATTAATTTTAGTTAGGCATGGGATTGTTCGGAGAGTTCGTAGCGTCCTTTGTTACCAGCCTCACCGAGGACAAAAAATCGATTAAACCAGTGTACGTGTACTGTTTCCAATATACATTTCAAATGTATCCTCTGTGCAATTTTCTAGTCGATTCTTTGTCTTCTCTCGAAAACTGAGGAAAAGCGTGAGTGAGAAAAAAGTGCATCTTCATCGTGACTGTGTTAAACAAGTAAAAGATAGTAGTATACCACTTCGACCGGGAAATTATATAATATCTACCTTGGTCGCCATATGTTAGATGATCATTCAATCAAATCACTATGTCAGGGATGAACTCTGACAGAAGTAAGTCTATCTATCTTTTTCAATTCCAAAAGGTAGAAATTTTCTGTAGTCGATGTAAGGACTTTATCTAAAAAAATGCATAAAAATTGTAAAACTGGAAAATGAATGTAAGATGTGAAGGGAGAACTCTTAGACCGCTATTCTACCTTTACAGATGCTACGAGCTTTTTCGAACAACACGATATTTTTAGCGTGAAAAATAAAAGTAGATAGGCAACACTGATTACAAATACAGAAATGTATGTATATATATATACACACACAGGGACATACACTCGATACATATCGAACGAGTTATGATGCGCAGGCGTGTCATTCGAAAATTTTTAGAAAGTTTACCGAATCCGTCATTTTTTTCTATGTAGTTATGTATCTGTAATTGTACGTTTTAATGAAAAGAACGCTCGTTTGGTAAATAAAGGATGAACGAAAAGAGGGAGACGGTTGGGGGTCATTTACCTTGACATCAGATTTTCGCCCTGTTCAGACGTATCGGTTCTGATGGTGCATTTCCTCAAAATAACTTGATTCACGCAGTCTTAAATGTTTCAAATATGTATTATCAGTCAAGTGTATGTGTGTGTAAATAGCGCCTTTCCCATGCGATCAGAACCGCTACGTCCGAACTAGTGATGGGCATCATCGACTAATGACTATTTAGTCGCAACATACTATCGACTATTTAGTCGACTGAAAGTAGTAGTTGGTTACTATCGACTTAGTCGATAGTGCCCATCACTAGTCCGAACACGGTCTTCGGTGTGAACCGCCGAAAGGAAGCCAACATTGTCAGGTTGAATAATTATTTATATTTGTTTACAATACCATGTAACAACAAGGAAAAATACTGAATTAAACGGGGATACCTTATTTGGTGTATCACACGGGCACGAGCTGATTAACGTTCTTCGCGATAGATCCTCTATGAATTGGCAATACAACTTAATACTTGTCATTGGTAAGTTCATTACGCGATCGTTCGGGTTCGCCGCTCGCGATTCACGCAGGCGTTCGAAAGTTTCACGTCATTTCGACCAAACACACTTTGCGCGCCTCGCGAATTCTCCACCTTTCACATAACGTTCGTTTCGCAACGTCGCCGCACGTTTCCTTGGAACGGAACGACGTGATATCCCCCGAAAGATGGATACTTCAACACGAAGTAAAAAAAGATAAAAATGAGATACGGCGTTAACAATAATAAATGATCAAATGGATATCCGCGTCGCTTAAATAGAAATGCGGTGAAAAAGTTTCATTGATTCAATGAAAGTCTGAGGTGCCAACGATTTCCTAACTGATTCGGTTCGGTTTTTGTGTACGCTTAATCGAGTGACTCAAGAATGTTGAAAACTGCGATCGTGACTGGGCAGTATCCATGAAGCGGCGTTTTCAGTGCAAATTTCACGCCGCTCCTCCGGGTATTCTCACGAAATACAAGGTCTAGAAAAATATATAGATGTATATGCAAAGTGTGTACTTTCTTTTTTTTTGTTTAACGTCGCTCGACCGTATTTAATTATCGACAAAGACACGACGAACGTCACCACCTTTCAATAATTAGAAAATTTAATCAACGATATATCTCGAGCGTGAAACGTTCTCAGGCTCGAATATTTGTGCTTTCCCCGTTCAATGCTTATACCGCGGGAAACGTGTTCATATCTCTCTATACACGGGGCAAAAATATCACAAAATTAATTCGAAAGTCACAGAAGTAAGATCCGTTACAGAAAGAAAGTCTTACAACACAGCGAACGGGCGGTCTATCGCTCGCTTAACTATATTAAGTGTAACTGCGGTTACATCCTACCAACTCGTGTACAATACAATGAAGAAAAGAAACCTTATTCTTCTGTACCTACGGGGTTTTGCGGGAAAGTTACATACGAACACACGACGAAACACGAGTAATTTCTTCTCCGTCGAAACACGCGTCTCTAACTTGCCCGATATATTCTTTCGTCACACACACACTTCAACATGTTCAAACGATATTCAGACACTAAACTTACGGAACGCACGGAAAACCGTCTCGATGCGTAGGTTCGATGATTCTTACCGCATTGAAGTCTGCCGGTATACGCCTCGAACGGTATGAATCATCGACAACACTGTGTACGTTTATTCGTTCTCGGATCAGTAAAGATCGATGCACACACGTACAATGTGTTGTTTCATTATAATTTCGCATCGCCGACACTTTGTGCGTTGTTATGTGCCAGTGATCATGCGACTGGCACAAGTCATTTTTGTCTCGTTTAAAAACTTTCCAGTTTCGCGTTTTGAACAAGAATGTTTTTTTCTTTCCGCGTAACGATACAACTATTAAGACTATTCAACTGAATATTTATAATGTCGGTCGATATAACCCAAAATGAAAGACAAATTCAATTTTTACAGATCATTGAGTTACACAACGTTGATAATCACTGACACATATTTTGAACGAAGTTGGGCACGAGTGCACGATCCTGTCGTGATAACGCAAAGAAACAAACGCATCGTAATACCGCACAGGTCGTGTGTAGAGTCTACAGTGTTGCCCGAACGACGCCCGCGAAGCAACGAAAGTATCACTACGCTTACTTGTCTCGGAAAAAAGAAACGACCACTGCATATTCGAAACTTTAGTAAATATAATACTAAAGGTAAAGTCGTCGATAAAAGCTGATAATTAAGCGCGTATTCGAAAACAGGCAGACATCGGTACCTAAACGATTAAAAAAAAAACATGAGCAATCGTCATCGATGAATGAAAACTTCCGGCGCACTCGTCCAAAATGGCATTAATAATCAGACTACGAATAAAAAATCAAGGGGAAGACAAATCGCGACGCGTCTATTACGAGCACTTTGGTGCAAACAAGTATACGTATGTGTCTCTCTCTCTCTCTATACATAATATATATACTATATATACACACTATATGCGTATGTGTCGCGTGTTTGATGAAAATGTGTAATAATGATTTGTGTGCGCAGGGACGTGTGTACGTGTTTCTCTTTTCTGTTTCTCAATTTTTTTCTTCCTTTTCTTTTTTTAGACAAAGTCACATCATTCGGCATTATAAATATAACCGTCTAATAGTTTCGCGTAATCCTAAAATAAATATCTATCACAAAAGACTGGTCTATAATAATAAAGTGGCTCTTGCGGCTTACGGTGTATCCCGTTTGTCATACCGTACACGGCTGCTTTCTTTTGTTCGACGATACAACGAATACAAATTACGACGGATCCTTATCCTAGAGTATTTACAAATTATACGGTATTAGTACTTTCATGTTTACGCTCTCGAACGCTGCGCACTCGCCAACACTCGTCTCGATAATAAATACGCCAATGACACGTGCCTTTCTCGCTATCACTTGTACTTACCGATAGTCGTGCAGTAGTACGCGGATACAATTAACGAATTCTAAGTATGGTGATAAATACTATGTTACGCAATGCTCGGGTAACCGTTCGGTCTCGGACGACGCGTCTCCTTCCACGATTCACGGGACGAATCGTCAGACGAGTATCCTTTGATGTCCTAATCGGTCCCCACGATCATTCGTAAAATCGTTCTTTGTCCAAACGCTTCGAGGCAACTCACAATCACTCGTATAAGAAGCACGACGAATCAATGGATTCGCGTGCTTGAGATCGCTGCGTTTACACCGCGCAGTCGTCGTTCTCACGATCATGCCGTTCGTGGTTCGTGTACCGTAATAACGGAGCCCCGCTGTTCACGGCTCCTGTTTCTTCTTCGTTATGCACGGAACACGTGACGATTTCCTCTGAAAGAAAAATTGCGTAAATAATATTTGTAATTGTTAGTAGATCGCTATCGGCCGATTTCTTTTTCTTCTTCAATAACGTGTGCTGAGAAGAATACACGAACGATACCAATGAAATATTCATACGTACCAGGTAAGCACAATTGTAACTGATCGCTACTAGGATTGGTACTGTCTCCTGTACCACTGTCTTTGCTGTGTTGTGAACTTGTTTCTAAATATAAATGTGTCTGTGTGTCTGGTATCGCGGTCGCTACAGCCGTTGACGGTTGCGCATTTCCACCTTGGGCAACAGCGTTCAGACGCCTCCTGGTCTGATAGATTATTACTACCCATACTACGGACGTACCAACAGCGCAGCATACTACAGTGATTATTATTAAACCCAGTATGTCGTCTTCGTTCACTGCAGCAGGACTAGAAGTAGGAGCTACGCAGAGAAATAAGGCATTGGTAACTGGGAATTTTATCAAATTTCCTTCAGATCAGTCTTAACGAACCTGGCTTCACCGTCAGATGGGATGCACCAACAACGCTACCTAATGAATTACTCATTTCACACTCGTAACTTCCAGCGTCGCTGGCTATAGTATTAACGATAATTAGTAACTGATCTTCAGCGGTGAAAAAGTGACGCTCGGTAGCCTGTAAAGGATTTCCGTTTTTGCGCCAGGACAGCTTCGGTCTGGGCATGCCGCCCGCCATACACTCCAACACGATCGAGCCGCCGACCATTATTTCCTTGTTCTCCATCGGTTTCACAAACGACGGAGTTTCTATCGAGGGAACAGAACAGGGTCACCATACGTCCGTTGCTGTACGCGAAAAGATTGCTCAGGGATATTTACCTAATATGGCCAGCGTAGCATTCGCGACAATAAGGCCAGCAAGATTTTGCGCAGTGCACGAATAAACACCGCTATCGGCGGTTTTCACATCAACAATGAATAATACATCGTCAATCGGCATCATGTGCATTCTTCTCTCTCTCGCCGCTGGAAAGTCATTTCCTCCATCCTTCTGCCATGCTATTTGCGGCGATGGCTGCCCTTCCGCGGAACATTCGAGACGAACGGTGCTCCCAGCGGTCACCCGTATATCATGCGGAATTTTTGAGAATGATGGATATACTGTAAACGTAAGGTATAAGTAATTCGTGCAATTTGTTCGCGATGAAAATGTAATCGACAGCAAAGAAGTAACGAAATGGTCGTTGGGACAAAGTCAGAACGGGAAATACGTTATCAATTGTGACAATGTATCTTTTCCTATTGATTTCAACAAGAACTCACTCAAAATGCTCAATTTCGCTTTTGCAGAATAGGTTGTCCCGTAGGTGTTCGTTACCATGCACTGATATTTGCCAGCGTTTGCATGCGTAACGTTTGTCAAGTGCAAAATGGAAGATGCCTCTGTTACCCCGCTACTCTCCATGGAATCAGTGTTTATTTGCAAATTGCCACTTTCCATTTCTATGTTGTCGTGCTTCCAAGTAAAATGCAACGGTGCATTAGCGGTGCTGGTCGCGCGGCAAACCAACGTTACATTATCACCTTTGATGCCCATTTGGCTCTTAGGTTCTTCGATTATCCTTGGTTTAGGATACTCGTCTATCGCGGTAGAAAATATGGTTAGATTAACGCGCGTTGTAAAGCAATTGAAAACAGACGGAATTTTAAGTTTCACGTGAAAAGCAATTATACTAACCACATGTAAAATTTTTGTGATGGAGTTGCGTCAATGACATACCCTGTAGCCAATGTGGATATCCGCAGTATACTTCCGCATCGCTGTACCTGTGCTCTCGTAACCACATACTTAGCCATTGTAAACCACAATCGCAGACCAAGACTCCTGTGTGTACGACAACAAAAGGTAAGTGTAATTGTTCTCGAGTATGTCCTTCTGATAGTATGGTATTATTGTTTATACGTACTCGAGTTCATCCGGAGTTTCATTAAACTGGTCATTGAAACAAAAGCATTTTCCTGAATGCTCGTTACATTGTTTCCGGTTAAATCCAATTCGGTCACGCTACTTAATCCTGTAAACGCTTTCTTATTCACTGACTTTATTCTATTGTGTGCCAATCCTAATTTCCATAACTGTCCCAATGGGCCGAAAGCGCCGTTGGTATCTTCCACCATGTACGATATTTTATTAAAATTCAATTCCCTTTAATAGAAACGACTGTTATAAAAAACAAACTGATCGATTTGTACCTGTATTTAGATTCCGTTTGTAAGTACTTACAGTATTTGCAAGTTGGGAGTCGAACCGAATGCACCATCTGAAATGTACGTAATTTGATTGTGGTCCATCTTGAGTTTTTCCAGCTTATCTAAATATTCGAAGGTACCCCGTTCAATGGAAGTTATCTCATTGTACGATAGATCTCTGAAATTAGGTTTCAAATTGTTATTTTACTATTCTTATTGTGCTCGTATAAAAGCATAATCGATAAAAATGTTACTAACAGTTCCACGATTTCTTTACACAAATCCCAAGCTTGCGTTTCGATCATACTTATTCGATTATGCGATAGCGTCAGTTTTTCTAAACGTTGTAATCCGAACAGGCCACCTTTCCTGACGGTAGTTAACGAATTAAAATCAAGTTGCAAAATCGTTAAATTTTTCAGCGGCCAGAACGCGCCATCATACAGCGTCTCTATCTTGTTTCTTTTTAAGCGTAATTCTTTAAGATTATTTAAACCTTTAAGACTAAGCCCTTGAATTGTCTGTAGTTCGTTTCTATTTATTTCTCTGTAAATGAAATATATTTTTATGTTCGTAGATATCTGTAGATGAATTGAATTTTTTTTAATTGAAATAATATAAGTAGCTTCTTACAATATACGCAAACTCTTCAAATTTGTAAATAGATCTTTCAATTGTGTCAGATGATTTTTGTTTAAGCGTAATTCCTCTAAAGAAGTCAAGTTATCCAGACTTCCATTTTCTATTACTCTTATTTGATTCATATTTAAGTTTCTGCAAAGATTATACAGCTGTATAAATTACTCTAAATATTTATATATTGGTATTATAGAACGTATTTAAAAAAATACAATGTACGTACAAATGCATAAGACAATTAGGAGCAAGGAAAGATCCATTTTTAATGACACTTATTTTATTCCCACTGATATCCAAACTCTGAAGCTGTTCTAAGCTGCGTATTGCTGTTCCATTTATATCACTGATTTCATTATGAGCCCTGCAAACAAATTATTACTTGTCGTATATAAAAAGCTAATCTTGTTCTTGTAAAAAGAAGGAACCGGATAGTTTACTTACAAGGCAAGATGTGCTAAACTCTTAACAAAAAACAAATCTGGCACTTGTGTTAAATGGTTCTTATTTACTTTAAGTCCCTGTAATTGTGTACTTTCAGATAATACAATTGTAAAGTTATCTCCAAATTTATTAGCGCTGAGGTCCCTGCAAAGAATTACAAAATTGCACAGTAACTTATAAGAGAATTAACACGATAGATATCATTGCTGCAAGTACTTACAATTCTTTGAGCTTAGCTAAATGTAATAATGCATCAAATTCCAAGCTAGCAATATTATTCTCCCTTAGTTCCCTGAAAATGTGAAAGACAATATTAATATTGCCTTTATTTTTATCTATCATCATTCTTTTTTTTTTATAAAATCTTGTTCTTATATATTTACTCATGTCTCATAAAAGAAAAATATAAAATATATTTTTTTTAATACTTTAGTGGCTATACTGTTACTATGCGGTAGATTCAAGTTGTCTTAAAACACTAAAGGTAAGGTTCTCTTCATCTAGATCTTGTTCTCCTTGACTCTAGGCTGTGTAAAGTGACAATAGTGTGTCCCCATACATATTGCCTTATATGGTCAAGAATTCCAGCTAATGTATATGTAAGTACAAGACTACCATTACCCTTTAACCATTTAAGGATTAAAAGTAAGCTTTCCCGAATGTTTCTGTACTTTAGTCTCTAGACTGTTCCTAACAATTACAATGAAACCAAAAAAATATATCATTCAAAAACTGAAAGATAATACCAGTGTTATTAAAACATTTCTTACCGCATAGAAAACATATCATTATGAATTGCAAATTCTGAATCCCCTATCATCTGAATTTGTTCCAATCCAAATCTGATTAAAGGATTATTTTTTTAAATAATATACAATGTTATCGAAAATTTCTAAATATTCTCAAGTCGCGATAACCCATTAAAAAAGAAACGTAGCAAAATACTATTTGCTTCTTGCTCAGTAAATGAACAACGTTATCGCTTGTATTTTAACATAACGTTTCTGTTACAAATTCCTGTATACTATCTTATCTGCGTTCGATCAAGTTACAACGAATGTGCGTAGCTTTCAACTTCAAATCGGAGCAATCCGTTGCGAGTAACGAAACAATGTAATGTGATCGAAGGGAAATAAAAAATAACAACAAACAGTCGTAACATTTTCTACTAACAAGCCAGTATGAGAACATGGTCAACGGTGTTTCGGAAAACACGATTCGAGTGGAATAATCCGGCGAAAGTCATCCTCTCTGGAGGCAGCCTCTCAATAGGATAACGGGCGATTATTTACTCACAAGATCTCTGTCCATGGTGGTAGACCACTGGGTGCCCCGATCAATTGTAAGCTACTGCAGTCGACCACATTCCCAAGGCACGCACACTCCACGGGACACTGATTATCCTTGCCACCATACAATATCGAGTCGGCGATCGTTGGGTTCGACGAGATCACGCATAACATCGATAATAAAACGGCCGTCCATTTGCGATTCCACTCGAGTCGACGTACGAGAAAAGCTTGTTCCGAGCTCGACATCGTACGCGCCCTCGTATATCGTTTTCCGTTTTCAAAACTTATTTCGTAATTACGCGTCGCGTACCGCCAACGATTTTCTCCATAGCGAATCCGTAGGACGAGAGCACGCCTCGTCTCGCGAAACCATCAGCATAATAACAAAAATGCCCCCGCGCCTTTTATCGATTCAAAACAAACTGGTCGCCTCTCAAAAACGCTCCGACCCACACACCATGATGACGCCTACGGACCGATGCGAGACTCCCCGACCGACGATTGCGCGAGACCATTCTTTCTCTCCCTATTTACACAACATTCCAAACGTCGTGTTACTAGAGACTAGCTTCACCTAGTGATATTTCCTACGTCGAGAAGACAGTGTATACAAGAACTACCAAGTTGAATTTCAGAGAAATGATACGGTTATTTGGTTTTGTATTGATATCAATCGTATGATGCAGTACGATGGATTCGCCAGCGAAATCGAACTGTACCGAGTCTTCGACGTAGCAATAATGTGTATCTGGTGACACAACGTATGAAACGCTCTGAGCGCCACCAAAGAGAACCTCTACAGATTCGAATACGCCTTCGAGGCACAGTACCTTGCAGCAAAGTCAAATAAATTTTTTATATATTTATTTATTAATATATACGAATATGTTACACATTATAATTGAAAACGTTAAATTCGCTGTCGGTTATCTTGTTGTAAAGTAGGAATCAATCGTATGGTTTAGTGCATTATTCAAATTGGAACGTCTTGAGCTATTTTTGAAAGATATCGTTGTACAGAAAGGATAGACAATTTAATTTTGTTATGGTTGCTAGGCAAAGAAACTGTGAATCGAATCAGTGTTTTATAGGGAATATAAATACACGAAAGTAAGCTAGTTTTCTTGCAATTTGCATTGTTAACAGATTCTGTCGGTCATCGGTAGCCCATGATAAATCTTTTGCCTAACTATTTTTATTATCAACATAATAATTCAATAAATAAAGTTGCTTTTTCATATATCGTACTTCGTGCATCATATTTCTGAGTAAAAAGAAAATAATATTTGCGTTTTGACACGGAAAGTGTTAACGAATTCTCGGATAAACGGACGTGTCGAATTGGTGGAAAGGAGGAAGGTACCGTGGAAAACTCTTCGATTCTTACTAAATATTTATATTTGTATTAAATCGCTATTCGTATATTTGCATTTCATCAATAAATCACTATGTCACAGCATCATTTTCCTCTTTAAACAAATCAGCAACATTACACGCGAAGCTTTCATAAAACATAAAAATATTCTTGCCCCTGTAGTAAATGTATATCATATACACGCATGTATATAATATATTCACCATACGATACCGATCGAGTTATTTTCAAACGTTCGGCAATGCGATGTTTCGGAGAAAATAACGATAGCGGTCACAGACTGACAGTTTTTATCATCACAAAAATTTCACTTATAATTTCTAGCTTCATACCGAAATTTAAGTTAACTAGATTATCCGCCAAGCGCAAGTTTTGACTTCATTTCGAATTAGATCGAACTCCAGATTGATCTTTCAGTCCAAACATCACTTTTCTCTTAGAGACTTAGAATTGAAATTGCATCGAAATTCAATACGGTCGGATTTAACGATACGTAAGTTCAAAATACACGTTACTTATGTACGCTTCTATAAAAATAAAATTCATCACGCATATTTAATTAAGCATCGCTAATAATTGTAGGGTCAATGATAAAGCATTAAAGTAACGTTTCTTTGACTGATCGTTGATTTCGTAAATTACGTTGTTGCTGCTTTCATTCGGAGCGCTAACAACGCGATATGCGGGTCATATTTTCTACGTCTACGCGTAAGTCTTATTCAACGTTATTATACGTAAACGTTTCAGTGACATGGATACAGTGTAACAATATGTATACATGTATAAAAAGAATGTACAGACAATATATGGTAAATAGTAACATAAAGATACGATGCTAAGCAACCCATTGTTTACACGTGGTATAATTCGAAATATAAATAACAAAACCTGCCAATGTTTTGGTTTCTTTAGCTTTTCTTTAGATCACACTGCGTTCACTTCTCGAGGAAAAGATCGTCTACGCATTTTACCGTATCTCTATGTCGAAATAAGAGATACTACATTTAAAAATAACGGGATTAAATTTGTATGTCGAAAGATATAATCTGAAAATATGTTTTTGGTATCTGAAAATATGAAACGATTGCAATTACAGTTAAAAATATACATAGTGTGATATTTTTTAGTAGATCGTATTGTTCACGGTATTCACATTGTCTATATGTAATCGTCTATCGCTACTTGACCAAACGACAAAAGTCAAGTAGACGCTACTTCCTTCAATTTAAAATAGCCTTAGCGACACACTGTTGCAGTCTGTTTTAAATTGTTCCGCGCAATCGAGCGTAAAATAGAACATCTTCTCAACGGTATAGAAACGAAAAACTACTTTAGATGTCACAGGAAACTAACAGACGATGGCGATTACCTTTTCAACTGTAAATACACTGTATTCTTTTTTGCAATGATCCACATGGAGAACATTACCCTGTAAGAGGGAATGACCTATGTATCGAGAAGACGTTTGCAACTCTTTATAATACAAGTATTATTATTACTCAGCACGTGCGTGGATACGTTGAATACAATGGCGAATATAATTGGCCATTAACGAGAGAAGGCCCCTTTGCTAGTTTGGAAGCCATTTATATGCGATAATAATATTAACGGTTCTTCCCAGTTGTTCTGTTTACCATGATAGCATAAATTGATTACCGATCAGCTACACCAACTTTCATTTTTGCAGCGTTAAGTGGTCGGATGATACGAGCTAATCAATGCCGCGTCTAACGGTTCCATACACGATGGACACGTGAGAGAACGTTGTAACCAATCGTCGATACAAAGGGCGTGATAAGTGTGCATACAGGGTAAATAACGCACTTCTTCTCCAACCTGCAGCTCCATCATACATATCACACACTCTTCCTTCTTAGCTCCGTCATATTCTCGCAGAGGCAAGTGTTGAATGAGTCCCAAACGTTTACGGATTCTTACTCTCAGCTCTTCGTCGCTCAATGATCTAAGCTCGTTGCTCAGTCCTACAGTGATGCCGATACCGATCCCATAACCCATATTTAAGGTGACTGATTGAAGATGACTACCAGTAGGTGGGTAATACGAACTCACCAACTCCTATAAAATCAAAGTCACATAAGACATGTATTTTTAAAAGACCTAAATAATGTCTAACATTTTAGTATTAATAATAAAAGTATTTGAACAAGAGCACAACTACAGATTCACTGCATAGGATGATCCACGCAACACTGTTTTCATGATCCTTAATTTCCAGTATTATTAACAGCAATAGTGTTTCTGTTATCGTGTATCAATAATTTTGAATAAAATAAATGCAATAATCAGAAATACATCTTTTCTTAATTGTTTCATCTCATGTTTTTAACTATTATGCATTCATTTTTATTATATACAAAACAAAATGAAAACATGGAATGTATTTGCACTTCTCGTTTGCTACATACATATTTGAAGAAGGATTTTAGACACTCTATGTTTTTCATTATGTGCTCTTTGTGAATAATGACAGTTTATCTGTGCAAAATAATTTTCTTAATTATTTAGCATTCAACTTTTCTGAGAACACTCAATGAGCCTTTAAGATTCCCTTATAACATCATAACTAATTTATTTCTTTTGTCCTTTTGTTTTTAACTGCTTGTTCTACCATTATATGCTTCTGTATCTAATTCTAGTTCATTGAAACTCAAGAGTTTTCAGACCTGTATAAGAATAAGAATAATATTTACATAATCATTTGTAATCTAATTATAACAACATAAATCAAGCATCCTGTCATACAAACGCTTTTGTTATTTTTTGTCATTAGGATTCATGAGTGCACTGTTTCAGTTATATTGAATTGATGGAATGAACATGCATAAATCTTAACGCCGTTCTCCCTATCATAAAAACAAAGAGAAATCGAGGACACGACAGATAGTGTACTGTACTCGACCGCGGTCGTGAGTTTGCCACGGATAAAACGACGGAACGACAGAACTCGCAGATTAGACGCAATTGAACGTAGAAATGAAATTACATTGTAGGGTATTGGAAGTCCAAGGTCTTCCCGCGATGAGCCGACGGGCAACGCAGGATCAGGGTTGTTACCCAACAAAGTGGTATTGTCTTGTTGACTGCTTCCGGAACGCTTCAAACAATTTCCCATTTTGGCGGAACGTCGGCTCCGATCTCACTTTCCCCGAACAGCACCGTTCGATCCGTGAATCCCAGCGTCGATTACAGAATCGCGACAACTTCGACGTGAGACATTACGAGTCCTGTCCCCATTATAAATCACGTTGTTTTAGCGTAGATCCTCGTCGGGGAACCCGTTTCGGTCGATCCGAATGGATGACAGTTGGTGTCTCGCGTCAAAATAAGGTGGCGTAAACGTTTACCAGCGGAACATCTTCCGTCACGTACATCTGCACTACAGCTGACTGCCCAACGCGTCCATCGAGTCGAGACGCGACTAGATGCGACTGGACGCGATCAAAAAAAAAACAGGCCAGTTACTCCAAGTAGGTTGTGCGTCAAAAAGGAAAACACTTTTCACATCTCTCGCGCGATGTTCTTCAAATGTTCCGTACACATCGCTACTTGCATCCTGCTGCGTAAAAGATAACCAGCCGTGATTCGTTGCCTCGGCCGTATCGCATTATCCACCGTCCAATCACCGAGAAACGAGCGCTTGCGATACAAAGAGCTCGCAGAAGCATTACACCATTACACGACAACGATAATCAAATAGCTGTTCGCCCCACTCCGACGCGCCGAGAATATACAACCGAAACGAGAGACCTTCCTTGTGCCATCTTACTCGATGATATATATTTTTGGAAAAAAATTCTGGAGCGATATTGCGCATTACCAATTGTCAGATCTGAAATTTCTAATTGTTTCTAATTGATATTTCATTCCTTTTGTAAGTACTGAAAAGTAGTTGAAACGATCCATAGCGTCATCTATGGCAAAACACTCAATCACCGACGAGGTATAAGCGCGGGATTCACCGAAAAATAGTTGGCGCCGAATATTAGCACCGACTAGGTATAGGATAGATCTATCATTTTATGGGACTTCGTGTCTCATGTTCTGAAATACCGATAGTGTAAAAAGTCAGGGATTTTCTGCTGCCCTCTACGTTATGAGAACGGTGAATTTGTGAACTACGTTAAGGGGGGAGACTCCGTGGCCCGTGTGCTGTCGTGCACTCACTTTGCATCAGAGAGAATTGATGCTCTCCTTCCGAGAGCATCGACTCTCTGAAACATACTCTCCTTCTGAGAGTATGCCACTCCTTTGTTTCTAATAATTGCTGGGTATACAGCTAAACGGAGCGATCAATGGAACTTTGATTTCATTTATCTCTCTTCCATTTATCTTAGTTTATTTAGTTAAGTTAAGTCGATTGTAAGATTATTATAAGTTCAAGTAAGAAGACGTCGATCATCCGCCGTGGGATCTTCATTTTATTTTCAGGTAGACTCAATAAAGGAGCCATCCGCCGAGGGATTTCGTTATTACAAAATTACTTTAGATTCTTTTTCCTTATTCTGTAAATTCTTTGATTGGAATATGAATGCTGCTGGAAGTATGAATATTTTCACAAGACAATGATATAAATGGAACTTTAAAACTTTTTGAAGTGTTACAGTGATATTTCTTTGGCCTCCGTATTAGCGCACTGCGCCGAACGCGGATAGCATGATGTTGTAGAGTTTACAATATATTTGTAACAATATATTGTTATAAAGCATAACAATTTGTATTATAAAACAGCTGGCAGATTGTTTAACAATATCCCCAAGAAAGGTAATTGTTATAACAATTACTTTGTTAGATATAATAAATTAATTGAGAAATAATTTTTGGTGTGCTCGATTTTCCACTGCGCTTAATTTTCACGCACCTGTCCGCGCAACCTCGCGAGCCCGTAAATACGCGAACGCAGCAGAAAATCTTCAGTTCACTGAATACAGGCTGTATATACGACTGTGGTAGTCATGCATTAGTACTCGCGGTACTCGCCAACACTCGCTAATTAGTACCATATTTATGTCACTAGGTAGAGCTATGATACCCTTAAACATGTTTCATTGAAAATTTTAATAACAATTAAAAAATTCTTCAATCAACATGAGGATATTAGATCATGATAAAAAAGGTTGAGTTTTATAAGTTAGCAGTCAACCGTTTTGTCTCAGTTCATTTGAGAGTTTAACAATTGAAACCTTTTCGTAAATCTACGCGCCATCTGTAGTAAATGGATGACGTATAAAATTTGTATATGGTGGGCGCGCCATGTCATTTCCAGTCCTTTCTATTTACAAATTTTCTGATATATTTCATAAGTATATTTCTTTTCGGACTGATTTCGGAAACGCCAGTCGGTGGCCTCGGTGACTGAAATAATTTTATCATTTTATCATCCAATTGCTAGAGATGCCACCGTTGTCGGGAGGTTTCGGTGAACAAATAGAGGTTAGCATTTTAAATTTGTACGCTCGGAGCATTCGACTCTACCATTCAATTAATCATTATTTACAACATCAGGATTACGAAGTACTGAATTTACTTGGGAAAGGAGGTTTCGCCAGCGTATATCGAGCAAAATGTCTCCGCAGCGGTATAGAAGTGGCGATAAAAATGGTATTCCCCTTATCCTCCTACATGACGCGTTGCTCGCGTCCTTACAAACACTTGTTGCATTATTCTTCCAAATTTAAAACTAAAAGAGGCTTTGGTTGAATATGCATACAATATATACACAGATATGCACATGTATAGTTATAGTTATTGCACATGTGTATGGATGTTTTCTTATAGAAAAGTATTATACAATTATAGATCGACAAAAAATTGATGCAAGCTGCTGGTATGGTGGGTAGAGTACGCCAGGAGGTTGCGATCCATTCAAGATTAAAGCATCCAGCTGTACTCGAATTGTATACATTCTTTGAAGATGCTAATTACGTGTATTTGGTATTGGAGTTGTGTCATAATGGAGAGCTTCAACGTTTTCTTAAGATACAAGGCTCTCGTGCATTACCTGAAGAACATGGTAAATTGTAGAGATATTTATAGTTCTTACTGTCTCTAAAATTTGGACATATTGTATCTACCTTTGATCTTTCAGCTGGTCGTATAATTAGACAAGTAGTACAGGGCTTGTTATATCTACATTCGCATCAAATACTTCACAGAGATATGTCCTTATCTAATTTGCTTTTAACTAGAGACATGCAAGTGGTAAGAGAAATTGCACGTTGTAAAATTTTTTCTATTCAATGAAGTGGGAATTATGTGCAAATATATAATTGTAATTATAGAAAATAGCAGATTTCGGGTTGGCCACTCAATTAACAAGGCCTGACGAGAAGCATTTAACTATGTGTGGTACTCCCAACTACATATCACCTGAGGTTTGTTGTTTGATTTCTAAAAAGATCTACTAAAATTAATAATGTATTCAACATAATATATTTAATATTATAATAGATAGCAACAAGATCATCGCATGGACTAGAGGCAGATGTTTGGAGTTTAGGATGCATGTTATATACCCTTTTAGTTGGCAAGCCACCATTTGACACAGATGCTGTTAAGAGCACCTTAACACGTGTAGTCATGGCTGACTATGTAATGCCACCTCATTTGTCTGATAATGCCAAAGATCTCATAGACAAATTATTGAAAAAGAATCCAAAAGATAGGGTTCGTTTGCGTGACATTCCAAAACATCCGTTTATAACTAATGTAGAGAGAAATAAGTTACACAGTGAGAAAAATGGCCTGAGTAGAGGATTATCAGTAGATGGTATGGTTGATTCAGGTGTAGGACGAACATTGTCCTCGTATGGACGACCAAGAATGCGTTCTAGATCAGAAGAAAGAATGTCCACAATGCCAATGTTATCTAATGGTCTGGGACCAATGATCAGTGCGAGAAGCGAGGCTCTGTCAGAGCCTATCACAAAAACACATTCGCATAAAACAAGTGGCTTTGATTACCAGCACAAACAGAATTCCATATTAGATGGAATACCACCACCTCCACAAAGCAGAATCTTCTCTCAAACTGAGCAATACAGTGGCTGTGATGTTTATGAGGATGTTGACAGACATAGAAATGACAAATGTAAAAAAAGAGAAAAGGTAGAAAATTGCTTTGAAGGGCCTGAAGATGGAGGAAAATTACAAGTCCCACCTTTATGTTCAGATAGACTGCAACCTACTAGACACAGAACAAAGAATGCCATTCTCACCATATTAGACCATGGAGAAGTGTGTATTGAATTCATCAAACGCAGGAATGGAACGGTAAGTACAAGAAAGAATTAAATAACTTTTGAGCCCACTAAAGTACAATTGTTTTGAACACTACAGGAAAAAGTGAGCGAAGTATGTAGAATATCAAGCGACGGTTTGAGAGTCATTCTTTATAAACCAAATGTCTCCATGGAAATTGGTTCCCAACCACCCCCATTGCCAGTTCGTGGCGCAGATAGTATTTACTCGTATGAAAACTTGCCACTGCGTCATCATAGGAAATATGTTTACGCTTCTCGCTTTATAAAGCTTGTAAGGGCTAAAACACCAAAGCTTACACTGTATACGCAACGATCGAAGTGTCTTTTTATGGAAAACGGACCACATCCGGATTGTGAAGTTCATTTTTATAATGGAGTTAAGGTAAAAGAATCAATCTCGAATTTCGTATAAACGACAGATAAATCGTAACTCTTATATCATTTGCTACAGGTAATACGTGTGGACGGCATAGTGAGAATAACAGAAAGAAGCGATGGACCCACATTTGGAGAGGGTGAATTTCCACCACACTTCGATGACTATTACGAACATTTGACGTAGGCCCAGCGCGGCCTTGAATGATGCTCCTTGCTTGCAAGGAAAAGAAAATGTTTCCCACACAACAAATAATACACCTGTGGTACGAACAGTTTGAATGACGTCGTATGAAAAAATACTCGTTTCTACAAATCAAATGGTACCTTCTTTTATCCGTTAGACAGGACTTTCACATAAAACTCTACTATTCTAATACTAGCTCGGCTATTTTAGAATTCATTAAATTGGATGTATGCTTTAAAGTGGTACCATTTGATTCATCATATAAGATCGTAGATCCAAAATATTGCGTCTACTGTAATCTACGTGTACACTGTATGTTTCAGATGCCATCCTTTGATGCTAGTTGTTCGGTTATTTCCACGGTAGCATCTCACTCACGTAAAATGAATTCCATGCGGAATTCAAGTACTACTAATACGAACAAGGTAGTAGTTCCGGGTGTAGGTACCGCGACACAATTATCTTCAGGAGATATCCGTGTCAATTATAAGGATGGTTCTGCTTTAACTGTGAGTGAAGCTTGAAATAGCTAAAACCTTGACAAAATGTATGGTTATATATTTAATCGAATTTATTGTTATTAGGTAAGTCCTCAAAGCTACGGTGGTGGCATAATGTACGAGAGTAACAGCGGTACTGTCACACGATACAATCAACATTATCAAAACTCGGAAGTACCACACGTCGTCAGAGATAAATTGCGCCATTTGCCAACAGTTATTAAATGTCTCGTTCAACCGAAACACAAGAATATCCGATAGTCCTAAGCATACATTTAGAGAATCAAGTATTTTGTACAGTAGGTTTAAAGTAGTCTAACTACAATCAGAAAGGAACTATTTTTAGAGGTTTATAGAATGTATTGTACCTACCTAGGCAATTATAGAGTAAAGTAATTTTTTAAATATAATCTGAAAAATACGATTTTTCATATTTTTATGTATCTATACGCATGTTTTTATTTATTAAGATATACAATAAAGATTTGAGGATCTCTATTGCTACTCCTAACGCAATGTTTTATGAACATCAAGAAAGTATTAATACTCATTGCATGCAAATATTACTAATAAACTGTGCCCTTTCTACATTAATACAATACAATATTTACACCTGCATTCGTAAATGTATTATTATTACTTTTATTTTACTTTATTCATTTGTACGTATTTTGGCTTGAAGATTCCATTAATGGAAGTAAACAAACATGTAGCATACTTCATCATAACACATTGCATTACGGATGAATCTTCCACAAAGAAACAAAGCTATGTAGTCGAATCGGGGTCACTGAGAGTAATTAGCATTCTACTCTATGATATTAGTTGATTTTAATGATGGAAACGAAGCATTTGATTTGCTAGTCTATGTATACTTATGTCCTACAATCTCGGAGGACAACGATCCCATTCACTTTTACCTTGTCGCCATATTGATTTATTTTAAAGGGTCGCAGAAAACATATAAACGACATTCTAAGGGTAAATGTTATTTAACTTAGAATATTGTAACTGATGTTTCATTTGATTCGAGTTTTGAATGTATTTTTGTAAATTGTCTTTGTAAATCATATAAAAATACTTTAAAAGGGCTTAAGGGCTTAGTTCGCAGCATCAGTCTGGTTGGACTCACGAGGGCTTTATAAACAAGTGGTCTGACGTGTCGAAGCGTAATTACCAGGAGCGTGGGATGTCATTCACTAATACAATAGAACGACATTCAATTGCCGCAGTAATTGAGAGAATTCTAGTGTTATAATCTCGGAATCGACAACGGGCAGTGCCCATTCGCAAAACACCTAACCTCGAATAATAACAGGCTCGAAACATGGGTAAGTGAACGGTTTGTAGAAGATATTTTTACTCTTCTTAAGAGTGTGTCATAAAAAAGGACAAGTCCTTTTCTTGGAATACTGTGTAATCCGTTTCCTAGCAACAGGTCGGTAGTGTAAACGTTCGCGTACGATTCGTTTCATAATCTTATCGGTAATATATACGAGAAGATTACTCATTCATCGTCTCAGTCATCTCTTTACACCTGAATCGAACAGGTTGTCAATACTAGTTGATATTAAAGTTTGATCGATATTAAGATGACGAATTTTCAAGAAGGAAGCGACAGTTTACCGTTGCGCAGGAGATTTGACAGTAATATTAGCATAGACAGATTTTCTGAGAAAAGTCTTCATGGACTTGAATTTGAGTACAAGTCTTGCAGTAAGTTAGTTTAAATGAGGAAATTACTAGTAATTGTAACTCAATGCGATGTGACTATTGAAAAATTATGGTAAAGTTTACATACTTCTAATAAAATCATAGTGAGTTATTATGTAAAATATATTCTTGTTACAGGGAATATGTGTAATGACTGTATGGCCAGGGTGCCATATGCCACTCTCATTGCAACCATCATGTGTTGTTTGGGAGTAGGCATATTCTGTGGAACAATGTACAGAGGTGTTACATTAGGTTCTTTGATGATGGATCAGGTATTATAAATTGTTACATTTGCATAAATATTTTACATAACATATAGTTAACTAAACATTTTATTACCAGGTGTTTCATTTACGACTTGGCTGGCTAGAAGCTGTGCAATTAATCTTTGCAACAATTGGTGCTAGCATGGCAGCCCTGGGTTTTATGATACTATGTGTTGGTTGCCTTGCAACTGGAGCTACAAGACACAGAGTATATCGTGCATGGAGATCCAGAGTTGGCGGTCGTATTTCTTGTGCTGTTGTATGTGTCTATATTATTTCAAAGTACAATGACAGGATAAACAAATCAATGAAATATATATATCTTTCATCTTTTAGTTCATGACAATCACGTATATTCTACAATTAGGCTGGCTCTTGATATTTGCATTCCTGGTTATAATTACTTGGATTTTCACTATATTCTGGGGATTGTGCAGTAATCCCAGAGTCCAGTCGCTCGATCAATGTATTGATTTTACTCAATTCAGTGAGTTTTAAAACCTTTTTTTTATGGAATTTACATGATTTTACCAAAATTATAACATTGCAAATAATTTTTTTTATACAGGTTTCATATTCCCAAATAATACTAGAGTAGAAGATATGAAGGTGTGTGGACCACAAGAGGTGAAGCTATTTTGTAAAGATTTTGTAGAGAAAGCAGAGGTGATGTTTATCTTGGCAACAGTAGCTGCAATGTTAGTTGTGTTGAGTCTTATACACTATTTGATGTGTCTATCTGCTAACTACGCGCATATACGGGGCCACAAAAAATTCCAAGAGTTACTAGAACTTCAGACCCTGCAGGATATGGCTGAATTAGATTCTCCGCAATCTGGTATGGGCACTTTGAGCTCTCATCATCGTACCAAGGATAGATTCTAGGACACGGCCCGCGAGATCTTTGCTATGAATCCTTCGTAAGTGTAACGCTCCTGTGTGCAGGAGACTGAAGATCTCTCCTCTAAAAGGTTCGAAAATCTTTCGGTGTTACTCTCTTCTGTGTACCTAAATTCAGTATTCTACTAATAGAGTATTACTGCAGTAGTTTACTGACTGAAGATCTTGCGGGAACACTTTATACCGTCCATTTTCTGCGACTGTCTTGTAAGCATTTACTTCGTCTTAAATTTATGGATCAATTAGGTAACGTTTAGAGCGAATAAGATATATCATGTATTCTAGAATTGAACAATTCGACTGTTGAGATTTGCAGGATGTTATAAAAAATATGGGCATAACTGTGGGCACAAAAAGAGAATTATTTTTTATTATTTTCTATATTTCTATCTATACTTAATTAATTCTTGAAGTTATGCCCACATTTTATGACATATCGTACATAATTTAAGACATATGACAACATTCCATGATTCGTCTGCGTTTGAATGTGAATAAGACATTCATTTCAAATAAAAACGTACAAAGAGTGTGTGGAACACATACAATATAGCGCACAAAATATATATACTATATATATATATTTTTATTGATAAACAAAAATGTCTGCTGGGCACTGAAACGTTATTTGGTATAGTAATTATTCGATTAATGATGTCTATATATTATATAAGACTGTTTAGCAATGCAGACTGTATATTAAGTATAGTTATTATTCATATTGAGATTTTTTTTACGAAAAAAAGAGTAGCTTTTTCATAAAAACTATTTTCATTGTACATAGTTGCTCGACATTCTAATTATGCTGGAAAAACTAAGAAAATTATTAATTTCTTTGGTTATATTCTTATTTCTTTAAGTTGCTATTTATCACAGCAGTAATTGAAAGAACACCTTTTTATTAACTACATTTATTAAGTATTACGTTACAGATCTACTGCCACAATTAATTAAGAAATCAAATGTTATTATGAAACATGAAATGGAGCAACGGAACATTAAATTAAATTATATTTTGAGTGCACAAAACCCGACTGTGACAAATCTATGCAATCTGAGTCGCAAATAAAAAATCACTATTTGATTCTAAAGTGGTTATACTTAACGTAGAAAATTTGACTGAAAATAAAGTGGTAATTGCTCAAATAATTTACTAATAAACGGTCATTTTTTCGAACGCGCAATAAATTTCTGTAACAGAAAAATTTTGTTGAAGGTAAATAGATGCGAAAAACGCTATATTACGCACACCTGATAAGTACATATCAAACGGGTCGCGTTTTATTTACTCACACTCGCAATAAAACGTTCTGTAAGAGAAGTTAATTGCGTGGTTACATGTAATAAAAAATCGATTTATTGTTAATGTTTCAAAAAGTATGCACTACAAATTTCGTTTCTAAATATTTGTATATTTCTGTAAGGTTGAATAAAATGTACTTTCTATTTCGCAAATACAATTTTTGAAAATAGTGTAAAAGTATTCTTGGAGCCCTAAAATTCTTTATTGCGTATTAGTAGATAAATCCTGCTTATTATGTACAATTAATTACAATTTATACAAGTTGTATGAATCGGCGTAAGTTACTCGTCATAAAATTGGAGATCCAACTCCAGGTCGAGAGCACTTACTTCTTGGAAGGTATTAACGAAAGTGTACCGCGAAAATATCATGTACAACTTTCGAAACCAGACATACTGGGACTTGTGTGCAGTCATGGCATTCTATAAAGGCAAGAAATAATTTAAAAGTGTATAATTTTGCTTGTGTTGAAATTTATAGAAATATGGGAAGGTGTTGTTAACAAAATTAGGTTCTGTCTTTTTTTAGAGAAAATGACACAAATACTGCACACTTACTCTTATGGTTTTTCTTTGGTCATATGTTACTAAATACCAGTATGAAGCAGTTAATAAGCTAATTGGTAAATCTAGGAGCTGTACATATTTTCTAATTATATTCACTGACTCTAATACATATAGCTTACAATCTGAAAAGAAATTAGATTCCTTAGTATTTACTTATTATTAACTTAATGTGCTAATGAATGATACTAACAAGATGGTACTTTCTTTTCAATGCATAATGCAGCTATGGCAAAGTACAAGGAGATGTGATTCTTGTGTCGACTTATGCCATGCTTGTCAAATGTTACGACTGCATTGATTTTATAAGTCTCTATATGTTGTAAAATACATTCCGCCACTACTTCTGTTGGCCATTGTACATTTTGATCATCAGGTAACTCTGTACTCCTATACATGCATTTATTGAACTATGATAGAAGATTAAAAGGATAGAATGTGGCTGCATTCAAATAAATAATAACAAATTATGTTGCAAATTAACTGAATGAAATAATTCCTTACATTATTATAGTTACATTAGCTTCTGGTATCCCTAATATTTTTGTGCAGTTCCATAACTCTTCTTTCCTCTTTTTATGTCCACCTGAAAGAATGTTCAGTGATACATAAAAAGAATCACATACTTTTATATGTCTGACATTTATTATATGCTTATCAATGAATTTTGTTTTAACTACAGTTTTATTAGTTGTATATACTTATTAGATAAGGAATATTAACTACAGTATATACTTATTAATAATTAATATTGTACTTCTCAAGAGATTGTAAATAATAATATTCATTGATAGACATGATGTTTGCTTCTATTATGACTAACAAACAAGCTGCATACCGGTGGTAAGACAAAGGAGATAAATCTCACTAGCCTTTGATCTTGTGACCCAATATACCAGTGGACCAAAGAACATGACCTCATCATCAGGATGAGCCGTCACTAACAATACTCTGGCAGGTGGACCTGGAAGCTGCCACGCATTGTGGCTGACTTTTTTCAAGATTGAATATAGACAAATGCAAAGGCAAAGATAGGCGACAATAGCAATCAATAATTGCCATGAAATTTCTTTTATGTAATACCACCACCAACAAATTGCTTCATTGATTTGTAGACTAAAGTATTCCCTAATGAAATCGAAATCTAACATTTTTAATGACAACGTACGAACTACTACCACTTACGAATGTCACGGTCCTGTCATATTTTCGGAAAAGGCTACCCTTTCAATGCTTGGAATAAGAATTCTTTCTTTAGCGGAACATTGTAAGGTTATGTTGTACACACATGAGATAATAGGGTTGGACGCCATACTTGTATAAGTCGATGCAAAACTACTATCAACTACTATATATGCTATTATTCTAATGCTCGTTCATACTCTAACCACTGCAACCCGTTCCTTCCGGCAATTTTTTTTCATGTGTTTAAATCTGCTTTTTTTGTATGAATTTTACTTAGTTTCTTGTGAATCCATTTACACTTGTTTACAGCGACTTTAAAATATGATTATAATGCATTTTAGATAACATATGTTTTTAATTATTAGTGAATTTTTTATAGTACTTGTTATTTTTTCCCTGCTAATTTAAATCTTTCTATAAACTGACAATATTGTATGTATTCTATATTACTTTTAATAAAAATTTGGATAATTGTCGTTGGTGAATTGCTCAAATCAATTCTATAAGTAATTACATTTTAATTTGTATACTAACGACTTAATGTATTTTAAGAAATCTAGGCTACGTATGAAAATTTATATTTGCACAATTTAAAATTTGTTCGACGCAGGTGTACAAGCATTACAGGCTGTCCGAAACTCTAAAATTCCCTATATTAAAAACTATGACTGATTCAGATTTTATTGACAGAACGATGTTCTTTTTATACTTCATTTTGAAATTTAGGCTAAAATGGTTACTTTGTTTAAATAACTTATAAAATTTGAAATGTATCATTAAAATTAATGCAGTTTATACTTGAAATGAATCGATTCTACGCCAATCTGCAATAAAGGGTGCGTCAACATCGAACATTTCTAACACAATACTTTCGGTTATGTCATTCAGTATAACGACAATATAAACACTGATAATTCTATTATGACCGACAAGAAGCCAGAGGAGGACGTATTTCGTGATACACCTGTGAGATATTTGGGTAATACAGAACAGGTTATCCTGGATTTTTACATTTTCATTGATGGTTTCACTTCTACTATAGTCATTATCCTTAGATCAATAATACATGTAAAGTATATAATATGTTTTATTATTAGTCATTTCACTAGTTTCACAATAATGTTATAGTTAACACATTTGACAAAAATTTCAATTGCTTTTTCAGGATATGCTAATGAAGTTGGTGAAGCTTTTAGACCAATAGTATCACCTTCAATTGTATGGTTAAGTTATGTTATATCCAGTGGATATGTTATAGCAGATACAGTCCATAAAGGATGGAAGGAGTACGAGGTAACTTAAATTCAGGAAAAGACTACCTAAAAACATTAATGAACAACATGATTTTGACATTGTTGCGTTTCAGGGAAATACATCAAAAGAAGCAACCAAAAATGCTTTATATTCCATGGCGGATACCTTATTATGGCAGACATTCGCATCTGTGCTCATTCCTGGTTTCATGATTAATAGAATTTGTGCTGCCACTCAATGCTTGCAAAGAAAAAGTTGCAATCCAGTCATACGGAATCGGTGGATGTCCACTGTAATTGGTTTAGTCTCTATACCTCTTATAATACAGCCTATAGATCACATAGTTGATGAAGCAATGAATGTCACGTATAGAAAGTGGGTAGGATATTACCCTAAATGACTATTAATATAAATTATAGGTGCAAATTTTAGACAATTGACTAAACCTACCTAACTGTCAAGGAAAATGAAAGTACTGCTGCTGCCATTATAAAAAATCATAGTACAATGCATTCGAAAATTATGTATGCTTTGTTATATTGTATATATTAAATAATTTATTTCAGTATTACAGGGTTATCGGCTCTGCGAATAAAAAATCTATTACGTTTTTACTCCTGTTTTTTAATGGTTTCGTGTCGTATCCGTAAACGTCTGACTGGTAAACAACCTTTTCTACTTATACACAAGAAAGTTATTAATGCGTTCACTGCCAGAGTGAAACGCTTTCCATTGGAACACGAGTATACTCGTGGTTGCTACCGAATGAGTTAAAGAACGCATTTATTTGTTCTATCTTTACAGAGAAATTGTTCATTAAAGTATGAAGTAATGTTTATAGTTTGAAAATACTATAGAAAATGGAAAAGATTGGAACTACCCCTACTTTATTATATTTAATTCGTTTACTCTATTTTGATTATATCAGAATAATAAACATTTTTATTTATAATTTATTACGGCATAACAGTTTTATATTTATATCAAAATAATAACTGTTCAAAAAATAAATCCAAAATATAAAATATAATTTTTTAATGCAAAGCTTTTGTTTAAAAAAAATCAACTTGAAAAATGTATTTAACTCGTGTGCGTTATAACAGTAGTAGGATTGTGCTGAGGTACTATTCAGTATTTTCACTTGAAAGAAGTTATTGATCGTGATTACGATACCGTCTGTATTTCTTAAGATTAAAGAATCGCACAGATTTTATTTATTTCTGTATGTCGAATGATCGTCTTGATTGTACCACCGGTTAAAGAACACACTATATTTCTATGATTGTCTTATCTTCATAGAAAGTTCTGTAAACAGGAAGATGGTCTACGATAGTAAGCAGAATACTTTTTCAGATAGTCGTTGGGCCACTGATGTCGAATCAGCATTACACTTTGATAATTATTTAAATTCACATCGGCCAAAAGATGACACCCGTTTCTTATGAAGAATAATCCCGTGCAAAGATGAAGCCATTGATTTTCTATTAAGACTTGAGTTCCCGCTAGGTCTAAACTTTCCAATTCCATCGGTAAAACATGAACAGTAGAATCGCCCAGTATCTGGTCAGACACGATGAGAATACCCATTCTATGCTTCACTCTTCGTACACAATTAACATACAATTACATTGTTCTTTTTTAAATTTGAACTAACATACAACGAATTATCTTACGAATTACGAACATTATGGCGTAGAATATAAAGACTAGAATGAGTACGGGATTATGAGTCAAGAATCAAGCTTTCAATTGGCTCGTTCGAAATAAAAGGTTCGCGACTTCCTCGTTTGATCTCGAAGGCTAAACAAGCTGAACGGAACCGTTGGAAAACCAATAATAATTACCGTGCACGGAAGATCGTAACTCGCAGGCCACGGTTCATTTTCCCATTTATCGTCTTGTCGGGCCGGACCAGCCAGCCGGGGAACAATGGCCACGGCATTGCTTAGGAACGAATAGCCTGTCATACCTGTGACATATATTTTTTTTTTGTCGCAAGTACAATCACCGCGTCCGGCAAGAAGAAAAACTGATCGTATATTTCTCTTCTAGCAGAAACCGACCACGTGGGCCTTTTGTCGACCGACTGACGCATCGGGAATGACGTTCGAGAGTTCTGTTTTTGGACAAGAAGAGGACACGTTGCAATTAGGCCGATATTAAATATATTGATATAACCAGGCCTTATGATTATTTCTTATAGAAATCGCAAACGGCTTAATCAATAACAATCGAATTCACGATCCATTAATAGACGAATCATCTAAGATAGGGGAGAGTTGCCTATATTTGACCATTTCTGTATCTCTATAAAGAAATATATTTACAGTGTTTCCACTGGTTATATTGATTTAAGGAGCGGAAATAAAATACGTCTACGTAATGTTTGCAGGTATGTTCGAATGGTAACGATACTATACAAGCTTGTTTTGAATATTAGTATCTTGTTAATAGGTATTGATTGGGTTTAATACTTTCAACGGTGATATGTTCAGAACGATTATTCTTAATTGGAAATCGTGGTATCGATTCAATATCACTTCAATCGCTAGAAAAACGTCCGTACCGACGCCGAGCGAATTTATTTCTCTCGAACGGTGTACCTATATATATATATATATATTTTTTTTTTTCGTTCATTATATTTTTCTTTTTCCAAGTACGCCCGAGCATCGAATAAATTTTCCGTTCCTCGTAAAGTCCGGCCGTGTGCGCCGCTCGTTCGACCCATTCGAGCGTGTTATAGACGAAATATTTAGCGGTTAAGTAGAACTTGATTTGCGAATAGGCATGAATTTCGCGTTAATTAATTCCCGTACAGTTATTGCGTATTACCGCGTTTTATTGCCCCCTTAACAGTTGGCGTAGCACGATTTACTGCCGGTCGGGAGGCGAATAAAACGTGCAAAGAATCCGAGCCTCGAGGATTCTCGTGATTACGAAATTCCGTGTACCTTCGTTCACAGAGTGGGGGAAGAGGGGAGGGGGAGGGACAGAGATTTATGACACAATAATAACGGGATGCACTCGAAGATTATTTCGATACCGATAACATCGGGGCGATCGACGATTGGTAATTCGCAACGATTCGCGGCGCATGAACGCGGTAGCGCAGCTCGCGAACGAACGAGATCCGACAGTAATCTCTGAAAAGCGTGTTAAATAATAACAATTCTTATCGGGAATATCGGCGAGGTGGCGCATCAGGAACCGCGGGGCTTGCATTCGCGATGAAGTGGTTTGTTCCGATCGAGTAATTCTGCAAATACCTTCGAATCGATACTTGGTAACGATCTTCGAAAGAAACATTCGATCGTCTCGAATTTTTCGTCGGTGTCTTGAGGTCAGAAAGTTGCCTTAACCCCTTGCTCTATGATTTTCTTGACGTACGCAGTCTCCCGGATTAGATTGTTATCGATACTTTCCCAGAAACGAAAGGAAGCCGTAGTAATTGCAACTGTACTTTTAGTGTAAAAGTTAAATATTAATACCAACAACGTGGTATCCGTTTTTTTTTGGAGTCAACAATAGGTGTGTTCTTCTAGTTTATCTTCTAAGAAATTAAAAAACATATGACCTGTAACTTTATCGTTGTGTTATACTTAACGAAGATTTGTCAACTTTTATGCCAGATTCACACTAGCGGTCGAAGGCACGGTTAGATCAGTCTGAGTTTAGACTATATTTCTCTCATTGGATCACGTGTGAACGATAAGAACCGCTGCCTGATTTAACGTGATCGAACCGTATCGTGACTGCTAATGTGAATCTAACTTTATACATATATAAAAGACCCCCCCCCCCCCTAATCATGATCCTTGAGTTTTTCCATGGTCGTAATGGTAACATCCCCTGCAGGTCTAAAATGAAAAGTTTATAATTATTTAAAGACGTGTCTTTATGTAACGTGCCAAAATCACTCGTAACAAAACATATAAAATGGCGACGCGTGAAATCATAAATTCGATTTCTTAACGTACATTTACTTGTAACAAAAAATATTGGAAACATATTTAACAGTTTGGGACGAGCTATGAATTATGTATAGAACAAGTGTTCGAAATTTCAGGTCAAAAGGCTAACTATTCTATTAGAAATTAATCTCAAGGCTCACCTTTTCAATTATACAAAGACAGTGTTACGACAATCAATGATTTCCAATAAGACCTTTCAATGTTGTGCTTATTCCAAGATTGCTTTTTAATTAGAAGAATGACAGGAGCACGATACAGAGGCCTGTGTTGAAAGGGTGCAGTCACCGTTCATGGACGAAACATAGAGAAGGATGGCAAAGGGACTATACTTACTCGGGCGCCCCGTTACGAATTGACACATCTAAGTGGCGGTCGATTTTTCATGGGACCCTATAATAATCTTGACAGCTTTTCAGTAGTCTATGGTCGACCCTCGTAATAAGCTTAACCAGTCCACGACGATGTAATTTATAGAGGCCACTTGTTTACGGTTAATTATGGCGGCACGCGGGCAACCGTTAAATTTTTTTGTGCGTCGCGCATTTCTGATTTCAGACCCGGTAAATTCTTCATTGGATCGAGATATACTGTCGGACGTATCAAAATCGGAATACTTACGAAGAGACGAACGAGACAATCGTGTAATTTAATTCCTCTACATATTGTTTCCAGGCATCGTGACAGGAAAACCTACAATGGTAGTCAAAAAAAAGTTTAAGATTTATGTTTGTGTACAAATGCAATTTTTACTTTATACAGTAAATCCCCGATGAGTGTTCTAAGACTCCTCGGCACTGAACATTGAATATTTTATTAACTAATGGCCGTATGCTGTTGAAACAAATATCATTGGTTTCAGAATTCCAACCTCTATCACTGTGCTAAACCTCATTAAAATGTCAGTATTACACCTGGGTACCTCTCTTTGTCAGTAGCGAGGAACCTTCGAACACTCAACGAGGATTTACTGTATCGGACTACAATTATCAGTTTTGTGTAACTATAGTTCCATTTGGAGAACTCATTCGTTGATTCTGACAGATAACGTAAAGACGAGAAGAAGCAAAGGAGAGTTGTCTATATCGTACCACTTTTTACATTATATGTATATATTTCCTGTTTGACACTAATTTATACACAAATGAATATTACCCATTGTAGCTTGATGTTTAACACGCTTATTACTAGATGTTCAACCTTCGGTCAAGAACAAATGAATTTGTTACAAATAATTTTCTGACATACTATAAAGGCAACTCACCCCTAAATTGAAAACACTTCTACGATAAAAACATCGAAAACAAAGAAATTCGTTGAAACTATGTCTAACGGTTCCATTATAACGGCGTACTTACGAGACTGTAGATATGCTATAATAACAAGTACAGAAATTAAAATTACTCTTATTATTCCCATCATCACAAATAACGCATGTTTTCACAGTAAACTATCCGTCATGACAAGAGCTAGGGGAAAGGTGTCTAAAACAATCCCTTTAAGGCGTAATTTATATAAAATATACAAATGACCCCAAACATCTAACTCACATTCAGTGGTTGAATATAACATCAACTTAATA